TATATTGTGTGTGTGTGTGCGTGCGTGCGTGCGTGCGTGCGGCGTGCGTGCGTGCGCGTGTGTGTGTGTGTGTGTGTATGTAGTGCTTTGCCCCATTAAATTGATGAATGAAAATACATTGAAAATAAAGTTATAATGATCTCTGAATGTTCCTATCATCAACAATAATATTTCATCTTATTGTTATGTCAATTGTTCCAACATCCACATAATCAGCCTACTAACTCTTCTTCTGCGGAAATTGCAATAAGAATTTAATCAACGATCGTATAATTTCAGACTCCACGAATGTATTGCGCTGCAAATAGTGACGATTTATCAGAGGTTATCGAATACGTAAAAAAAATTCATCCTCATGTGCCTCTTGCAGCAACAGGAATTTCGATGGGAGGGTAATGAAAAAATCTTCTTTATGCAAGATGATATATGCTAATATTTTACAAGATGATATATGCCAATAATTTACATATGCTAAATATTTATAATTTACATATATATTTATGTGATTTATAAATGTGCATGTAAATCATTTGCTTATTCATTGCCTTCAAATTCATATACAGGCCATATAATAAAAGATATGATTACTATAAGAATATCGATAGCAAATAATAATGTATTTTGTTATACATGTATGTATTTTTCCAGATTAATTTTAGGTAATTATTTAGCACAACAAGGAGTAATGGCGAGAGGGAAATTGAAAGGAGGATTCTTAATATCCGTGCCGTGGAACGTATTTGCTGCGACAAAAAACACGGAAGAGAATTATTTCAATTTAATGTTAAATAAATATTTAGCCAGTACGCTTCGCAAAAATTTACAACGTTTACACTATTCCTCGGAAACTGGAATGTTCGACGTTGATATTGACACTATTCTTAAAGTAAGACTATTTGGAAATGCTAATGCAACTTTACAATGTTTTAATATTAATTTAAAAATTTACTTACTTATTTTTAAACGATTATATTTTAAAATATTATTTTCTATGTGGCTAGAGTCAAACATTGAGAGAGTTTGATTCACATTTTACGGTGAAACAATTCGGTTACAAAGACGTGGAGGAATATTATTCCAATGCAACTATACATGACAAATTACATTTGATTGACGTGCCATTATTGTGTCTCAGTGCTGCAGACGATCCGTTTCAACCGTTTCAAGGTAACTGATTATTATCTTAATCAACCAAATCATGGAGTTAGTTGCGCTCATTTTTTGAATTATTTACTTGAGATTATTTATGTAGCAATAATACATAGCTTTCTTAATTGCTTTCTTCGTTACAACAGCTATACCAGTAAAAGAAATATCAGAAACCAAAAAAGTAGCTGTTGTTGTAACATCCCGTGGTGGACACATTGGTTTCATGGAAGGTATGTGGCCAGTGAAAGAAGAACAATATATGGGTAAACTGTTTTCACAATTTTTCACGGCTCTGTTCACTACTGGTTTCGATTGTCAAATATGACGAACTTGTAAATTAAATATCAGATACATTCATAAATACTAATATTAAATACTTTTTCTATGTTCAGGCATTGCGTAAAAACTATCACGTGCCATAATCAATCATATTCAGGGTATTGCACATGTGATGTAAATAATATTAATAATTATTGAATTTCCATTGCTTTTATATTGAAAAGATTTTCATCAACGATTTACAAAATATTAGTTAATAATGTAGATATAATTTTTTTACGGGCACATGGCATATAATGTGAACATATGAAATGCACATGTTCGTTTTTATTGATAATGTTGTATTTATTTTTAATACGTTAAGTATTTAGTATGAAATTTTGTTACCCGTATCTATATTCAAAATAAATAAGGTTTTAGTTTTATATATTTCCTTCGTATTTGTGCGAATTTACTTCAAATCAAATAATACAAGCATGAATCATACGCAGTATAGTTTTGTAATGCGTAAATCAATAATTTATTATTACTAATTACAACTTGCATAAAACTATAATGAAAAAATGTTCCTGAAAGATTGATGGTATTTGAAGAGTACAAACGTGTGTACTCAGTCATTGTACTAATGCTATTTTTAGGAATCAATGCAAATGTTAATAAATTCAGTGATTTAAAAGAAAAATATAATTAAGAACGACATATTATGAATTGTGATACTAGAAGCAAAATTATATATATATATATATATATTGTTAAATTTTATATATAGTTTTCTTTATAGACTTTATAAACAAATGTTGTAAAGAAAAATATACTGAAATATTCTATAATATTATCTTTCTTAATTTTTAATGCTAAATATATGTAAAATACAAAAGTCCAATGATATATTTTATCAATAAAATTCTTGTTATTTAGTATTTAATTAAAAAACTCGCACGTTAATTCGATCAATATTACTAGTTCCTAGAAAATAATAACGTAAATTGGAATATGTATTTTGTTACATGGAAGATACAAGTTATGTTAAATTACATAAATTTTTTATTTCATACAATAAAAATTTTTGTAATAAAATAATTTGCTAAAAAGCATTCTAGAATATTTCGAAATATCATTTTGTAATATGTACGATAATAATGTAAAAACACCTCCCACTTTATAACATTTACATTCTCAGATGTATTCAAATTAATTCTGTCCAATATTACTGTTAGGAACAAAATAATTTTTCCACTTTTTCCTCAGTATCAACATGCTATATACATGTTAATAATATTGCATTACATGCATATATATTTTCAATACGAACGTAACACAATAATTAGAAGAAGATAAAATACAAAGAATCTGATCCATGGACAGAATTATGTTAAAAGACCTATACATAGTATCAAATATAATGTTAATATCCTTGATATATGTTATAATTTAAATTCTAAATTCAATGATTTTACAATAAATGCCAAGATGTCAGTACTTTCTTCGATCTGAAATAAGAAATACAATGTCAATTGTATGTACATGACAAATTAATTATTATACATACCACTTTCATAGTTGGTTTTCCTCCACCATGTCCGGCTTTAGTCTCGATTTTAATTAATAGAGGATTGATTTGGTGCGGTAATTTTCCCAACGTATGTTGCAAAGTAGCAATAAGTTTTAAACTATGCAATGGTACCACTCGATCATCGTGATCAGCAGTTAGTAATAATGTTGCGGGATACTGTTCTTTCTCTGGAACTCTTACATTATGTAACGGGGAATATTTTAAAAGATTTTCAAAATGTTTCGGATCATCTGAGCTACCATAATCAGATACCCAAGCGACACCAATAGTAAATTTATGGAAACGTAACATATCCATTACTCTGTATAATAAATATGAAATAGAGAAGAAAAAAATAAATATACTTTTTGATCAAATTTGTCTTACCCAACTTGAGCAATTGCAGCACCAAAAAGATCAGGTCTTTGATTTATACACGCAGCAATTAACAAACCTCCATTACTGGCACCTAAAATACTTAATTTCGAAGAAGTAGTATAACCTTTTTCAATCAAATATTCGGCAGCAGCTTGGAAATCATCAAATACATTTTGTTTGTTAAAAAATCGTCCGCCATTATGCCATCTTTCTCCATATTCGCTAAAATAAATAATAAAAAATTTTATGTCAGAAATATATTCGACTAATATCGTTGTCTGCCTTAACTTACCCGCCACCACGAATATTTGCTACTGCAAGTACTCCATTTAAATGCTGAACAAAAACCAGCTTCGTAACGCTAAACGTCGGTTGAATGCTTACATTAAAGCCTCCGTAACCATACAATAAAGCCGGCATAGAACCATCCAAAACTGCATCCTGCATCAAAGATTTATTAATGTACTTCCTTTGATATAAATGAAATTTTATTTTAGAAAAATGTTACTTTGAAAAGTACCTACGTGTTTCATTACTATAAACATTGGAATCTTTGTACCATCTTTACTTGTATAAAATATTTGACTAGTCTTGTATAAACTTGGATCAAAGTTTTTTACTTTAATCTCTCGTAATACCTATAAATATATGTACATTTATTAATTAAAGCTTTTTACTTTATTCGCGTTACTTGAGTTACAGTTACAATTGAGTCAGTACTAACATAGTTACATATTGAGTCAGTACTAACTTGTGGATCCTCTTCATTTTTTAAATCAACTTTGTATATAATACCAGGAATTAGAAATGATTTGAATTGATAAAATATTTCGGAATATTTTTTTTGCCCAGCAAAATTGACTATTGTACCAACATCAAGCGGAAATGTTCTAAGTTTTTCTCCGTTTGTTAAACTGTGTAATTGTAAAATATTCTGCAAAAAATATATAACATTACTAATGTCATAATTCCACCTTCATTTCGTTTCATACTTCTCTATATTTAAAAATATTAGCTTGTGATTACCTTAACATCTTCAATATAACAAGCTACGAATTTATCACCATCAACGGCACATGCCCAATCTAGTACACTATCAGGATGTTCTGGTAGAAGATCAACCCATTTTTCTTGCTTATAGTCCAATAAATCTATAGCTATCAATTTGTAATTTGGTGCGTTTTTATTTGTCCGAAATATCGCCTTGGTATCATCGTTTGTTACATACTAATTAACAAAAAAAAAAGATTAATAGTAAAAAGAAATATTAAAATTAACGAACATTCATACTATGTATCACTAACTTCATAATCAGCTTCAAGTTTATCAACTACTTGGGTTAAATGCAACTTTTCCATTATTTTCATCTCTGGTTTTAATTCCGTAAAGTAAACTAGATTATCTCTACAATCCTTCACAGGTGTGACGATTAACCATTTTCCACAATCAGAAACTTGTGCACCTCTAATTATACAGAAACATATACAAGTGCATTTGTATAAAGTATATGTGTTTGTATAAAATATACATTATGCTATTATAGCTATTTATCAATCAGTTTTGTTAAAACACATACATAATGTATCACTCACATCCTCCATAAAGGTTCTTCAGGAAATTCAACTACAATGATATCTTCTGACTGAGATGTACCAACAATATGATAGCACAGCTTTTGATCTCGATTACCTTCTGTTTCTGAACCATCAGTTTTACCTTTCTGCTCTGGGTAACAACCATAAAAGATTCCACGATTGTCATGAGTCCATGTTATTGGAGAAAACTTTACTTTTTCCAAAATTTCTGGATATTTTTCACCTGTACATATTATTTGAACAATAAAACAATGAGTTATTTGACTGGAAATATCCATCTACATGTAAATAATATAAATTGTACCAGTTTCTGTATTCATAAAATGAATTGTACACCAATCAGATCCACTACTAGATAAACCATATGCAAATATGCTACCATCTTCACTAAATTTACTGCTAGTAATTGCAATGGTACCATCTTCTGATAGAGTATTTGGATCTAAGAATACTCTAGGTTCACTATCCAATGTATCTTGTACATACAAAACACTGAAAAACAAATATAATTGTCTGTAGTGATGAAACTCAGATATATTTATCGCTACTACCTTTGGTTTTGCAAGCCAGTATTCTTGTAAAAATAATATTTATTCCCGTATCTAGCAGGGCATGAGTATTTTGGAAAGTCCCACAATTGTTTTAATCGATCATGAATATCTTGACGTGCTTTGCATGAAGCCAAATATGGTGTGGTAACAGCATTTTGAGCATCGACAAATGCTTTAGTCTTTTCAGAATCTGGATCTTCTAACCATCTATATGGATCTTGAATCTAGTAAAAAAAATCATAAAATTTCATGTTTTACATTGTAGCTTTTACCTTGCATGGAATTTATTTTTATGATTTGATTAAATAATAAAAATACACGTTGTACCATTAGTCTCTAAAAACAAATTATTCCCATCGTTAAAGAAATACTGTTATTTATAAATATATTTACGTATAAAGTTTAAAATTTAAAAAGACTATCCTTTTTTCTTGTTCTAACCTCGACACCATGATAATTATCGACGATGGTTTCATCGCGGTATGTTTCAGAATATTGTAATTTTTCCATTGTATTTTGATTTTTCGTTTGTTCCTCTTTTGTAGGATTTAGCACCTAGATTTTTTTTTTAACCAGTATAATTGAAATTTCGGCAGTAGTGTTAACAAACAATTATATCAGTAAAAAATCTTACTTTCACAGTCGAAAATGCTGATACGCAAATAAATTGTAAGCGCTTACCAGCCTCAGTTTTCAGTAAATTCTTGCAAATACCAATGTGAATTTTAGTCGAATAAATTTTTGTCAATGAGTTTACAATCAAAGACACAGCCATGACATTTATTTTTCACGGTTAACACGTACGAAAATCAGTTAACTTTCTGCAAAATACAATACATTAAAATAATTTTTCCTAATAACATGCATTGTAATATTACAATTGTAATTTTATTTATTCATGACTAATTCATTATACGAAAATTGTTATTTTCTATTATAACTTTGTTTAAAATAAACTTATATACATGCATGTGACTTAAATTACATGTTTCTTTATCATAAATAAAAGGATAACAAAATATTTGTTCAGTTTTTATTTATCTTATGTTACATAGTATTAAATCATCAGTATTATAAAATTATGTATTATAAAATTATGTATCATTGAAATATTCGCATTAAATATTCTTATTATATTTTCATTTTGACAGTATATATTTGAAAGCCATCCGTTTAAATGTAGCAAATTATAATTACGTATAAAGCGTTCATGGTATCTCCTATTTTTTTTCAAAAAAATTCAAATATTATTTTATTCTTCACGAAATCCGCGTATACGATTTCCAATCAAAATTATCAATAAATTCAGTAAGTATTCCAAATTTTTATTTCAACGAGGACAAGACAATTCGTGTAGTATTAAGATAAAATCACGTGACAGCCGATATAAAGAGGATCTAAAAGTAAGCGATAAACTTCGCTCAATCATGCGTACGTGATAGAAATAAAAAAAAAAATTTGTATCAGAGTAATTAAAAATGTCATTTATCAATACAGTTATAAATGCAATAGTAGCACGAATACATCATGCAGAAGAGTAGGGGGATATATTCTTATCAAATTGGCCTTAATTACCCCTTCTTGTAGCATATGATGTTGCTCGATTGTAACATCGTATAAATATGAAACGCAGTATCGTATAATAAAAGAAAAGCATAAAAACGCTGAAAGATTTCTAAATAATAGGCATTTTAATAATCTATTTTATATAAATTTCTTTTTCATTTCACTCATATTTGATACTTATAAATTATCGAGAAACATAAACATCTTTTTAAAATCTGGTGCTGTTTAAATACAGTTGCTTATAATTTTTAATTGGAACAGCAGTATAGTTTAAAATTTATAACAAATTAATTTTGCATTTTAAATCTTTTGTTTAATCAATACAAAATTAGATAGTATATATAGTATATATAGTATAAATAATATACATCATAGAATATACAAGTAAACTCTTATAAAATATAATCTTTTAAAAAATATATTTATGTATATATATATATTTTTTTCACATATTTTAATGTATTAAACGGTATTTTTTCGACGCAAACATTTTGAATATTCGATAATGTTCATAAAAAAATGTCGGGTGAAATAATTACGGAGGGGGTATGCGTGACAATATTACGAGGCTGAAACTCCATGGGAGGGTTGATCACTATTTACAAATCACGAAGAGGAGCCACACCGAGTTGCGCTTCGTTATCACGAGCTGGTCAGCTGTACTTTGTGCTGCGAACTTAGATAACCTCTTTGCATAGTGTTTGAAGACCCCCTACTACTTTCATCGACCAGACGGAGTTTATATAACATCAAAATTCACCGCTAAAATATTCATAGTGAATCGACGAATGCATCTGTGAATTCTGGGTTCCGACTAACAGCCGCGTAAAATTCATTCTCAAACGTGTAACCTCAGCAACTCTACATTCGAAGGAATTTACGCATCGACAGAGAGAGGTCGTCTCAACTACGTCTGTCGTTCGCTGCGGGTAATTTGAATTTGTTTCCAATCTGTCAGCACACGGAGGAATGCAAAAGGACTGTCGAGACTGTTTAGGTATCCGATACCGTATCAACACCCTGGATCAAACGTGGAAGTGGTTGCATCAAACAATTACCCTTCACGAGTACCTGATCTCAATAACAGCTAGCCAATCTAACTTCTTGATGGGACCCTGTCACTAAATCCGCTATCTAGAGACAAAAACATCAAACATTATCAAGGCTGATCTCGCTACAAATACGCGGAGGTACAGTAAAAGGCCTCATGAATTTAATAGTCAAAGACTGATTTCACGAGTCAGTATCGCAACGAATCAGTTTCTAGGGAGTTTTCGCATCGGTACCGACGTACACACATCTGTCGTTTGATCAAAGGCAGCGAATCTACACGCACGCGCGCGTGTGTGTGTGTACGTGTGCACGAAGAAAACATTTTGCTCACACGTGTGCGCGAGAAAAGGAAAATGTCTTTGATCAACAGATTTATGATCGTAGCCAAACGAAGACCTCAATACAATGATTTCTGTCGAGTGTCTAACTATTCGACATCGAGCTTCAACGAGAAACGAAACAATCCTAACGATTCGATCACGAAGTCAGTATTCATATCACAGTCCACTGATGTATTCACCAATCTAGCGTTAGAGGATTGGTTTTACAAGAACCAAGATTTTACAAATCATCACGTGTTACTTCTATGGCGTAACAATCCGTGTATAGTGATCGGACGTCACCAGAATCCGTGGATCGAGCACAATATTCAACTAGCTAAGAAACGTGGTATAGTACTAGCCCGACGTAACAGTGGTGGCGGTACTGTCTACCATGACCGTGGTAATTTGAATTTGTCGTTTTTCACACCGCGGGAACGATATAACCGGAAATACAATCTGGAGATAATTACCAGAGCTTTGTACCGGGAATGGGGTATTGAAGCGGAGGTTAACAAACGCGACGACATCATTCTCAAAGAGAAGTATAAAGTATCCTTTCACGTAATGTATCAAAAATATATATATATCTATTATTTCGTATATCTGTTTACTCAGGATGTTCCAAAAATACACGTTCGACGATTATATTAATAAGTATATTAATTTGCTAGAACGATAAACGAAGATGGAACGAAGTTAATTATCTTAACTTCGTTATACCAACATAGAGACGATCCGAGGAGTATACATATACATATACGCGTATACGAGGTTTTGTATCGTAGTATTTTCAAGTTGTGTATTTCGAAACTTTATCAATACACGACGATTTATTTTAGAATCGATATTCACTTTATAGAAGCAGAATATATAACAATAATATATCAAGAGATTTATGTTTATTTTTCTTTATTTTATATTTTGTAAATAATACTGGAAACCTATTGGAACGACCAAATTAGAACCTATTTAGGAGCAAAGTTTCGCGTTTTGCGAAAAAGTTGTCTATGTATCCTTAACTGTTTTAAAATGCAGATATCTGGTACCGCAGCGAAATTAGGACGTCCTAATGCATATCATCATTGCACGCTATTGGTCAATGTTAATAAAACAGCTCTAAACTTAGCACTGGAGAAAAAAGAGGTGAATTTCTTTTTCAATCATTATTACGTTTATTATTATTT